AGATAGCGATTTTTAATAAAAATAAATTTTCCAAGAAAAATCTCCTGTGTAATTATTCTAATTTTCCTAATAATTTTCAACTAGTTTCAACAAATAGTTCAACGTACTGACTGATAGAACTTATTGAGTTTTTTTAGACATAGTTCACGGGATTATTTTAGTATTGTATCTTTTATTGTTAATTGTAGACTGTTTTCTAGAGATACAGAGCCATATACCGGGTGTTTCAAAGTCAATTTTTAAACTTCAATGACCACTGTTCCGCTGTTTTATTTTTCGATAGCATATGGTACTTTGCAGATACCTAAACTTTAAAAAACATTGAAAAACCCAGGGCTGCCCATTCAAATTGTTGATTGAGCAAAATTATTCGAGCCCTGCTTTGAAAAATCAATTTCCACAAACAAAAATATACAGGGTGAACTTAAATTAAGTGCAAATATTTTTAGGACTGGTATATTTCGACTACAGAAATATGTGTATTAAAAAAGTATGCCTGTAAATTTGTGCAGTATGGCTTGTCTAGTGCTATGATTTTTCTGAGGATATACTAGGTAATATAATTAAAATATTCTTTTTCTTCTTTTACTTATTTGAGATCTAGTCGATCTGTTAGTTTTAAAGTTGCCTCTGTAGGAGTTCTTGGGAGATGGACTGCCAACTGTCTCCTTTTTGGAGGTCTTCCCGCCTGTCTCTTATCCATTGGGTTTTCTTCCATGCGTTTTACGTATGCGAACCACTAGTGATTCCCACGAGACCAACGAGACGAGACTTTCATAAAGTCTTGTCTCGTCTCGCCGATAAAATAAGAAGTTTCGTATCGAGTCTCGTCTCGGAGCCTCCAGTCTCCCCGCGTCTCGCGTCTCGTACGAGTGTCTCGTGAAAGTATCGAAATTTCGTCATGCATAATCCTTGTTCCAGTCCAGTACGGGATATGTATTTATAGTGTGTACAAAACAACCTTGGGATCACGTGACATTTGTAAAGAAACCGGAACATTTTTGTAATTTATCTAATTTTTCTTGTTTATTTTTTATTAACTAATCGATATTTATTAGGCTACAACTAGCATTTAAACATTCAGGGTGTAAAAAAAGATTGATCTTAAGTCATGTGTTCCCAAAGTTGTTTTGTATGAGCTATAGTTGCTATAATGTAAAAGTAGGATAAAAAAATTACAAATGTTGAAAAATAAATCATATATTTTATAGTAATACGTAAACACAAAAGAAAAAACAAAAACTTAACATTAATTTTGAAAACAAGTAAAAACAATAATATAGGTACTAACAGCCTTCTCGGTCGCAAATGTTTTTGTTTTTCACCCAGTCATTTAGGCATAACAAACATCGTGCAGATTCATTATTAAGGCGATTTCTGTGTTTTCTAATGGTTAACGCAGCATGAGAGAATAACCTTTCCGCCGGGACTGAGGTAGCTGGTATACTCAAGAGATCTCGTGCCATCAAACTTAAAATGGGAAGTTCAGAACCATGAGTTCTCCACCATTGTAATATATCTGTATCTTTATTACACCAGGGAATTGAATAGTATTTTTGAAGCTCCTGCATCCATTCTCCTTCGGCAGGGGTAGGAGTTACTGCGTACAAGGCATCAAAATCAATTACAAAGTCCGACTTTTCAGGTCCAGGATTTTCTCGTCCTTGTTGCGCCACCGCTGTTTCTGTCGAACGTTGTCCCTCTAATTGATGAAAATAGGCTTTACAAATATTCTGAATCGATTTATCTTTTAATTCTTTGACCCATTTTGTCATATCAAACGTTTCTAACTTATGACGTGGATCGAGAATTAAAACTGCAGCATAAATCCAGTTCATTTTGCGATAATGCTTTAGTATTTTGTCTCTCGCAGCCTGAAAACCAACAATAAGCTGCTCTTTGACAGGGGTTCGATTTGTTTTTCTGTCCCATTCAAATATTTTGCTCTCAAGATTATCTATTAGTATATTTATATTGATACATACAACCACCCTATGTAAGGTGACGTACTTCTCTCCATAGAGTTTTTTGGAAAGTATTTGAAAGTTGATTAATAATTTGTGCACTTCTTCTAGCAGTATCCATTCTTCACCTCTAAGAGCATATGGTTTTAAATCAATAACATTTTGACATAATACACCGAGCCATGTCTGCCATTAAGAGCTACTTGCAACATATCATCACTGGAATTCCTGCGTGTAGGTACATCCAACACAGGTGTCAGTTGCCGAGAATTACCAGTTGCTTCACACGCACTTCGGAACTTAAGTAAAAGTTGGTTTTTAAGTAAAGGTTTTTCAAGTGTTTACCTGCGAGACTCTCGTACGAGACTCGAAACGAGACCAATAAAAGTCTCGTCTCGTATTGTCCGAGTATTGTCTCGAGTCTCGTCTAAAAAGTCTCTTAAAAAATTTTTAATTTTGCTGTCTGTTCGCATGAAGCGGTTTGTCCACACTATTTGCCTTAGACATCCTGACATGGCCGTTGCTCTGTTTATCTGGCTTCTCAGATCTTTCTCTGGATCATGGTAGTACGACATATTTATTCCTAGATATCTGAACTGTAATACTTGCTCAATAATTTTGTTTTCTACTACCAGTTTGCATCTTATCGGCTCTTTAGAGAAAGTTAAGCATTTAGTTTTTTCTGTAAAGATAATCATATTTAATTCTCGGCTTACTACTTGACAGAATTTATGAAGCTGTCTCTGCATATCGTCCTCTGTCTCCGTGATAATGGCTGCCTCATCAGCGTACCACACCATGCTACCTCTGTTGTGTCCCATTCGATAACCGATATTCATCGAAGTCACCTTTTCTATGATAATGTCCATTAAGAGATTGAATAAGAAGGGACTAAGGCTGTCTCCTTGTCTAATGCCTCCTGGTTTTGGTATGTCTCGTGTTAGATTATTCTCTGCTTTCACTTGAGTTGTGTTTTCGATATTTAGCTTTCTGATGATTTTCACAATATTATCAGGCACTTTTTTCTCTTTCAATATGTTTATAATGTCAGATAGGCGTACTTTATGAAATGCTGTATTAAGTCGATGAAACAGATATAGGCTGGTGTACTAAACTCTATTGCTTTTTCTTTAATTTGTTTAATGATAAATACGGCGTCTGTAGTTGATCGATTTCGTCTAAAACCTTGGTGTTCGTCCCTTATTTTGTTCGTCCCTATTAAAATACAAACCCTCCCCCCCAAAAAAAAAAAAAGAAATAAGAATACAAAATTAATAAGATATCGAATAAATCTTTTATAATTAAAGTAGCATTACTAGTAATTTAAATAATAATAACACAATGTTTTTATTTTGCAGGACTTTTGGGAAACGTTCTATTACTTATAACATCTATGGTGTTAGAATGTCTTAATAGTAACGGAATCTGTCTATAATTTCCGATGTCCGGTGTATTTTACCGAAGTGTATTTCTGGTTTTTTCAGAATTAACGGAATCACTAATTTTTAGTCAAGTCAAAAATAAACTTTTCCGTTTTGTACCGGATTTATAGAAATGATTACCCACAAAATTTCTATAACATTGAAGGACGATGTTGTCATCTATGATTTCAGGATAATTTTGATTAAAATCAAATATAATTTACAGCAGGTTTGTTTTCTATTTGGTTGTAGTATTTCTCAATATTTGGTAATTTATGTATAGTTCATATCAAATAAACTTTAAAACTTTTAAATTTTACATGTTTTCTTTTAATCAAAATATTTTAGGAAACGAAAATAAATTAATTACAAATATATAAACAGTTATTATTTACATCAACAAAACTCACATTCTTAACAGCACTTAAGGGACATAAAGGGCCATTACTACCGCTTTCCCTTTCAAAATATTCTAATAAAGTTGCGATGAGTTTTTTACGGCTATTAAGCTATCTTGTACAGGGTGGGTCAAATTCGACGCTTTTAAATGGAAACACCTTTTTCTATAGGAGATAGACGAAAACTAATATCCGTGTCTGGAGCTAAATTTTCATCAAAAACATGATGGTGAAAACCGCAAATCAATATTTGTTACCGTTTCGGAGTTACGGGGTGTTTTTCAAAAATATGCATTTTTAACATATCGCTGTAACTTTTTTGCTATGGAAAATTTTGTATTTCTATGAAAACATTTCCAAAGCACAGTTTTACGTAGAATTGAATAGTTTAAGTATAATTATTTTTAAATTAATAATTTAAGTGTTATCAACAGAAAAAATGATTTTTTATTTGGGACACCATCTATATTTTTAATTAACTGAAAAGAATTTAAAATTACCTTTCCAAAAATATAGCACACTTGATATTTTGTTATAATCCCCTTCGAAATACAGAATTTTTAAAGGTTCGCCACTTTTAACTAGTAGGCTTTGGACCCCTTATTGATGATATGCCCTTAATGGAACTCGAAAACGTATTTTTCCAGCAAAACGACGCACCGCCTCTGAACGCTGAAGGTATCAGCAAATTTTTGCAGCCAACTTGAAAAATAATTAGATAGCTAACCTAGATCCCAGCCGTTGGTCGTCGAGGCCACCTGACTTAGTGCCCATGGATCTAATCCTATGGATATATTTGCGGAAGAATGAGGTTTCTTATTGTTCCGTATAATCTAGACAAGAATTAAAAATATTTATGAGTTGCTCGATTATTGAACTCGAGTACTCGATTATTGAAATCCGTCGGTTTTATCACTAATTATTATTCCTAAAAACTATTGTTTTATTACTTTTTTGAAAGCAGAATTAAGGCATCTGACCAATAGGCGGCAATTTTTTCATCTTTACCAATAAATTTAACTACTTCTGCGTGATTGATTATGATGGAAAAAGCCAGTTTTGGATCGCATCTAGAAACATTACACTATTAATATACAGGGTGAAAATGAATTAGCAGGAAATTTTATATAAAACTACATTTTTTAATAAGTTTTTTTCACGCATAATCATTTGCACCCTGTTATTCTAAATGGAAAAATGCAATATTAACATCTTACAAGTGCGAATGTTGGCAGTTGTTTCCTATGACAACGTGTGTAATATCGTCAACAGGGAAAGTTTTAGGCGAATCGTAGACGGCTGGCTTTTTTACATTTTCCATTTCATATACCAATAGATCCTTCATATTTTTTGACAGCTGTACAAATATATTGCCATGCGCCTTCTAAAAAGAAAGATTTATTTTTTGCAGACATATACAGGGTAGTCCAAACTGTATTCTGGAAACTTTAACAGCATATTTTGCAGATAAAAATAAGTAAAAAAGTTCGTATAAATGTATGTCCTAAAATGCTTAGTTTCGGAGATACAGGATGTAGAAATTTTATTTTTATTTCGATTTTTTTCAAATAATTTCTGAAGTTACGTCAATATTTGGATGAAAATTGGTGCCTGAGAGATTTTTGACATGATAAATTTAATTTTGATTTCAATATGATTCCTACTTGTAGAGGGCGTCACCTACATATTTTTTAACTTGTTTGAAGAGTAATAACTTTTCGTCCGTACCTGTATAAAACTACTGAGTAATAAAATATACATTTACGGCGTTATTTACGTAAAAAAGGTCTTTTAATAAAAATCGCTACGATTAATCGTTCTCGAGATATTTGTAATCAAAATTATTTCGACATATTAATTTTTTTTTAATTATTTTTAATAATGGAAACTTTCGTCTTTATTATTTTTGCTTTTGGTTTTACCTTTTCCTGAACTTTTGGAAAATGTAATCCAGCTAGAAGGCAGTTAATCCGTTGTTGGTATACTACAGCTTCATTTTCGACTATAAATTTTTGTCTCATTTCTTTAATACACGGATGATATTCAATCATATGTATTAAGTTTGCTTCCTTTACATTCTGTAAAAATATACCATTTATAATAATAATTATAACACTTTTTTTTCAATCATATATCGGGTGTTTCTCAAAAATAGCTCACACCCCTATACATTTTTTATTTTTTCAGATAAAAAGAAAACGTGATTTGCTATTAAGTTAGTATATGACATAAAATTGGATTGATTCACGTCATTCAATTGTTTTCGGTCACTTCCTGTTTCACCGGAAATGACTACAACTTTTGATTTTTAAATGGCGCCTTCGGTATTTTGTATAGTTTATTCGATAGAAAATGACGCTCTGAATAGAATGACATATCATATGTCAACTTTTGACTTTCAATCTAGAGTTACGGCTGTGTTAGGTTAGGTTAGGTTGTAATATTGTTAGTTGGTTGTAATATGGTTAGATGTGGCATATTTGGAAACAGCATTTTTTATGAATAAGTACCAAATTATTCGTAAAAAACACACTTGATATTTTGAGTCAAATGATCGTTATGAACCGCAAGTTACAATTTTGAAATAAAAAATTTGCAAAAATGTCAAAAGTTGACATATGACATGTTATTCTAGATAACATATAATATAATTTTCTATCGTATCATCACACAAAAGGTTCATTTTCTATCAAATAAAGTAAAAAAAAAATACCATGAGAAAAAAATTAAAAAAGTATAGGGGTTTGCCACTTTTGAGAAACGCCCCGTATACATGAATAAAACCGTATTACCTGTATCTTTTCAATAACAATTTGAAATGAAATGTTGGATAAAGCGTCGGTAAGTTTTTGGAAATCTATTGGTCTGGTCTCCAGAGCGATCTGTATTTGTTTCTCTAAAATGTACATAACCTAAATATTTAAAGAAAATATCAGGATTATTCAAAATATGATATTTTAAACTCTTTGAACAATGTGTCTCAAATTTAAGGGTGACCATTGGGATCTAGTGTCTTCTGCTAGCTACCTTCTTTGTATCTCTTATCTTTGTATCTCTAATATATAAAAATGGTCCTTATCATTTTTTACGTAAATAAAAATCTAAATATTAGCTTTTGTTAGATATTCCATTTATTTTGTCTCCTACAGTATAGGAGCCGTTTCTGTTAAGGTGCGTCCACATTGCTCGTGATCCTGCTCGCGCCCTTGCTTCTAATTGTGCTTGCGTTGCTTGCTCTTCCTGTTTATCGTGTTTCTCAAGATCTTTCGGCTCGCAAGCAACGGCATCCACATTGTAATGTAGTGCTTGCGTTCGTGCTGCTCGGACATGGATGATACCGATGTATTTTTCATAGCGGCTGCTAGTGAGTAGATCCAAGCACAGTGGAAGTAAACATCTATGCGATTTACAAACAGACAAAATGTTTTTTAATATCCTTTTATCGCATGTCCGCTACTGATTTTGAAAAACTTATTAACTTAGTTGGTCCCCGTATAGAAAGAAAAAATACAACTTTTAGGAAGTGTATCGCGGTGAAAGAAAGAGTTAAATAAAGATTGGCCATACATTAAGATTCCTTGCAATTAGAGACTCATATACCAGTTTGGGTTGTTTATTATTAAAAGTTTCCAAGCAAAGCATTTTTAAAATAATACCAGGCGAATGCTAAAAGATAAAGTTCTCAAAGATCAGATTAAGATAAGGAGGCAATATAAATATAGAGTTATATTTTATTAAGGGTATATTTTTGTGGCCGGCCGTATGTAGCTCTAGCGTTAGTGTGTCGAACTGCGTAGCGGAAGGTACTGGGTTCGATCCCCAGCCAGTACGGTCGCTTTATTTATTTAAATAAAAATATTTATTTATCTAAATAGAGCGACCAACGAGCCGCCACCTCAAGGAAGGCAATGGCAAACCACCTTGAGTATATTTGCCTTGTACAGCCTCTCAAATAGTGCCGTTCGGATTTGGTAATAAACTGTAGGTCCCGTGTACTTCTGAAACAATGATGACACACATCACAAGTACATGCCAGAGGTAGCCGACGCTCGATATAGAGTATGGCACTGTAAGAAGAAAGGTATATTTAATAATATTAATAAAAGAACAAAACACAAATATTTGTAATTTTGTGTAATTTCAAAATAAAATAAGAAATATCATGGTAGTATCATCATACTACAGCAAATACCGAATCCTATGAATGAAACCAAACTAAAAACTTAACAAACAACGCAAACAGCTCGAGCTCTTCGAACTGCCGTAAAGTTTGCTCGCATGGCTCCGAAGCGTCTCCGATATCGTGATTTTTTAATCACACTGTTATTTGTTACTGTGATTTTTAATATCAGTGATATTAAAAACTAAACGTGATGTGATCACAGTTTCAATAACAATAACAAGTCTTGTCGCTCCGTCCCCGTTGCCCCGTTCCCAGTTACGGCGTAATACTCACGTGTTTATTTATACTTTTTTTAGATTTGAGACAAACAAGTTTGGGTTTAGGTGGAACATATACGTTTTAAAATAGGAAATTACCACATAGTTCCAAAGAAAAATATCAAATATCTTGGTATCACCCTCGACAGAGGATTAAAAATGGGAGATTCTGGCTATGGCAGTGCAATACCAAAATCACATATCAATTCACACTTTTTTGTGTGCGAGCGCCACGAACATCTCGCTCCGACTGCTTGCCGTGTTTTTTGTGTTTCACGTGTTCGTTCGGTCTGCTAGCGAGCAATGTGAACGCAGCTTTACAGTTACGACACTGTAGGAACTGTTAAATCACACTAAAAGACGTTTTTTTCGTTCTACTGTAAAATTTTCAAAATGTCAGTTATGCCAGTTTGTGTGGAAGTGGAAGGCGACGAAACCTGTAGTTTCCCAAATTCCAAGGATCACTCTCAAATTTAAGACACGCTGTATATTTTTAAGGTCTTTTTTGTTTTTACCTTAGGGTAGTCGGTTATCGTGGATGCTTTCATCTCCCTCCTCGTCTGGGACAGGAGCCACATCGTCCTCGAGAAAAGTTCGAAGAAAAACGGTTTTCTGCCGGAGGAAAAAAACACGACGGGCTGATAGAACGTGCTCTTGCTCTCCGGCGTTTCCACGCCGATGTGAAGAAGTTTGCCCAGCATTTTTACGATTCTAATCGTACGAAAAACGAAGAGACAAAAAATTAAAACAATTTAACTTTTTCCTGATTTTTAATAAAGCATTACGAGAAATGTTATTTTCGTGTTATTCAAAAGTTATAATACTTTTTATTCGACTGTTATGTTGGTACAACTTTGGATAATCAGATTAGAACCGCGGAATAAGTTAGGATGTATTTGGAACATTATGATGTTCCTCTTGATTTTCTTTTAATTTTAATTTTTTGTTATTTTACCATTTTCTTTCATAACACTTTAATATTATTATGTAAAGTCAAAAAACTATAGCAACTTACTACTGTGATGCACCCAAAGTGAATTTTAAAAGCCAAAAACTATCATATGTAATTATAAAATAGGTGACGATGAAATCTTTATAACATAATGACATACTATAATTATTATACAGGGTCCGGCAATAGTGCTTCGGGCATCTGTAGAATAAAAAACTTGAGTATTTTGTTTAAGGGCAAACCTAAAGTATGTACTAGGATGTATTTTACGAAAATATTTTAACTTCTATAGGGTGGCCCAAAAAAGTATGAGTATGTCGGGATGACTTTTTTTAAATGGAACATCCTGTATATTATCGCATTTTTGGCTTCCATTCGGATCACTTTACATAATCCTAAGATATGAGTAAATATATTTCCGTAGTTTCAGAGATATTAATAAATTAATAAAAAAAATATATTAAAAATACAAGAACTGTCCTGAAAGCAAAACTATATTAGATATTTACTTTAGATGGTCTGTACTTACTTTGCTATAAATATGGTAATTGTAAATTATACAGGATGTTCAAAATTCTACGCCAAACATTCTAAAATATAAAAGAATTTTTCTTTGTTGTTTTTTAAATGGAACACTCTCTATATTATTTTTTCAATAGATGGAGAATTAAAAAATTAAAATTTTTTGTATTTAGAGTATTTCGACATTTTTAAGGGTTTCGCAGATATTCGCGGCGGATATTTCATATGGCATTTTCCACAGTGAATTCAACTGAAAAACAGGAGTCAGCCCCTATAGAAATAATAACCAACAAAGAATGGGTGAAATATTATTCCAAATTGTTGTCAGAGAACAGACCTGAGTATCAAGAACCGCCACAGCCAGAAATAAACATTGAAGGAGAGGAAATCTACGTGGATACCAACAAAATAAAGACCGCTATAATGTCTTTAAAGAATGGAAGAGCATGTGGCCCAGAGGGAGTATATGCGGAACTCATAAAATCTGGAAGCAAAAAACTGTTAAGAATGTTAACAAACATAGTTAACCAGTGCTTAAATGGTCATCCAGTACCTGAACAGTGGAAAAAAGCATATATCTCCTCTATATATATAAAAAGGGCTCAAGGAAGGATCCCAATAACTACAGGAGAATTTCGGCCACCAGCACTATGAGTCGCCTCTATGGAAGGATACTGAGGAACTTAATTGAAGAGGAATACTCCAGCTACGAAGAAGAAGAGCAGCATGGTTTCAGAAGCGGAAGATCATGTACAGATAATATCTTTGCATTGAAACAGATCATCGAGAAGAAATCTGCAATGAATCAGGAAGTTCATATAACATTCATCGATCTACAAAAAGCATATGATACAGTGCCAATAATAAAATTATGGGAAGTATTGCACAAATCAAGAATTAACGCAGCTCTGATAAAAGCTGTACAAAATCTTTACCATGGAGGAAAATCACAAATAAAAACGGTCAACGGTCTCTCAGAGGAAATTTCTATCACTAAAGGGCTCCGACAGGGTTGCTAAACTATTTAAAATTTATATTGCCAAGGCCTTACATCTATGGAAAAGGAAATGTAACGGAATGGGTATAGAACTAAATGACATATGCCTATACACCTTGCAATTTGCAGACGACCAGGCCATAATTGCAAACGACAAAGATGACATGGAATATATGGTGCGGAAAATAATTGAAGAATATGCTAAATGGGGTCTCATATACTCTGTTTTTTTTCTCAGGTAAGATTTCGACAGACGATGACAGAAGAACAGCAGATGACGTCCCATACCAATCTATTTATTTTACTAAAAAAAGTTTCTAATAATTTTTAAGTTATCTATGTCTTCTTGTTTTAACCAGTTTTATTGGTTTATTTAAAAAATGACAGATCGTATTTCAATTTTATTGGTTTGACGGAACGATGAACGACAAACGGACGCCGATGAGGATGAACTCACCTTTAGACTTTTGAGGCTTGTCAAAGTCTTGCCAAATTATAGGTTATAATTTTGTGTCAACTTTTGTTAAATACCCTGCGTTTTGGAAGATGATGCATTTTGATTCGTATTATTACGTGTGTTTTGTGTCTTTTGAAGTCAAGTGGAGGAAAAATCGAGTGAAAATTAACTGTAGACCCAGAGCACAGTTTATGGTTAATACACGCTGCCCAGGCAGAAAGTCTTATACACCAATGAAGTTGCCATCGATAAAGTTTGTATACCATTTCGTCGTAGATAAGTGTCAAACTATCTCGTATATAAGGATCAAACTAAACACATACTAAAAACTGGAGTAGCTTTAAAATATCGACATCACACGATAGGTAAATAATGGATTTTAGTACTGCAGGAAAATATTGTCAAAAGTTAATTAATCAACCTTTAAGGTATAAAATTTGGTAGGTGTTATTATTAATTAAATAGTTTGTTGTATTTACCTATGTTGTTTTATTTATACCTGTGGAATATTACAAATTTGTATTTGTACATGAGTTATATTCATAAATATAATCATAAATGCGGCTAGTTTCATAAAGCTTGAAAGTAAATAATAGTTCTTTTTTATATTTTTTTGGTATGTAGTGTCTTGTTCTTGTTTGTTTTGTATTAACACATACCGTTTTTATTGAATAAAATAACTCGATTACATTTTTTCAGTTTTATACAGTTTTTTTCACAATATTTTGAAGTAATCACTTGTCATCTTGTCAATCAAATTTTAAATATATCGCTATGCGTTCCAGTTGTACCAACTCATTTCTTTGTAAAATAAAATAAACTACTTTGAAATTAAAATGACAGACACATCTATCACTGTCAAGGATCTTCTCGTTGGACAGACTATAGTAAATACAGGAAAAACAAAATACCTTCCAATTGGAGCTAATACAGAAAATCTTATTTTAGACAATAATATGGAAATTAGGGCATGTGAAGATTACAGGTACCTGGGATCGATATTTACAGGAGATGGAACGGACGATAGAGAAATAAACAACAGAGTAATACAGGCACGAAGAGTTATCAGATGCATAAATGGCATTCTATGGAGCACTGATATTACAAAAAACAGGAAATATAATATATACGAGACACTAGTTAAAAGCATATTACTCTATGGATGTGAAACATGGCGACTCACTGAAAGGAATAAAAGGAAATTAGAGACAACAGAAATGGGCGCGATTAGAAGAGCAATGAGAATTTCACGGAGGGATAAGATCAGAAATGAAGACATTAGACAACAGATGGGAATAGAGGGAACAATAGTAAATGATATAGAACAAAAACAATTAATATGGTACGGCCCATTCAGAGAATGCACAATGAAAGAATTCCAAAACAAGTCATTCATTGGATACCACCTGGTAAACGAAAGAGAGAAAACATGGATGAAAGGAATAAGAAGGTCGATGAGCGAGAAAAATCTGACCGAAGATCAATGGGAAAATCGCACAGGGTGGAAGTTAGGCATCGGACAACGTCGTAGGACGTTCTGACCCGAATTTATATATATATTTTCCACAGTAAATTTTTATCAAAGCCACCCAATGAATTTTTCTCATATTTTACCGTTGAAAGAACCATATGAAATAATACTGTGTGTATCTGCAAAACCATTAAAAATTTTGAAATACTTTAAATACAAAAAATCTTCATTTTTTAAGTCTCCATCTAATAAAAAAATTATATACAGGGTGTTCCAATTAAAAAAAAACAAAGAAAAATTATTTTATATTTTAGAAAGTTTGGCCTAGAATTTTAAACACCCTGAATAATTTAAGATTACGATATTTATAGCAAAGTAAGTATAGTCCATCTAAAGTAAATATCTAATATAATTTTGATTTAATAAATAAAAAATATACATTTTTTATTTATTTATTAATATCTCTAAAACTATTAAAATATATTTACTTATATCTTGGGATTATGTAAAGGGATCTGAAAGAGAGCTGAAAATGCAATAATATACAGGGTGTTCCATTTAAAAAAAATCATCCCAATCCACTCACACTTTTTTGAACTGCTCCATAGAATACTTTACGTTTGCACTTAAACAAATCGGAAGGTTTTTATTCTAGAAACTACAGATGCCCGACGCACTATTGCCGAACCCTGTATATAAAAAAATAATAATTACTTTTCACTGGTCACGTATATCCCGGGTTCATATAATTTTTCTTCGATCTGGGATTGATGAAAATTTCGATAATAGGATGCCTTATAATATTCTAAAATAAAAAAAGAAACATATCATAATATAAATAGTTGTTTCCATTTCCTGTATATATGTATATGTATGTCTCTCTTGATCTATTAGCATACATATTGGCTGTGAGGAGGTTCTCTATACTCTAGCGGCAATACTTCCGTATTACCGAGATATAAAATATTGAAAATATTGATGCATTTTTCTTTTAAGCCATGCTGTATTGTACGGAGTGTTTCCTAAATATGTGCAAATGTTTTAGCCGATAGTAATATTTCAACACTAAAAAGAATTAATGCTGTTCGCTTTGCAAAAACAACATCGACATTTTGTATTGTTCTTTCAGATTTCCTCTATAGTTTAGAACACTTTTTAGGACTGCAGGTACATTAAAATAAACCTTTAAAATTAAATAACTCTATTCTCTTCTATTTTGGCATTACTCTGTACCCTTATTTTAGAAATCATTAAAAATATTTGTACCTATTTAAAAAACACTATACAAAGATGTTCACCACATACGATACGGAATATTGTAGCTAAACGATTAGATTTTTACAAATTGTGAGTTTTGGGTTCGTCGAAGGACTATTAGAGCTACAATTTAAAAATATTTTTACAAGATACAGAGTGTCCCAAATAAATAAAAAATATCAAAGTTGTATTTTTTTTTAAATGGAACACGCTGTATATTATTACATTTTTAGTTCCTACGATTAAAATAAAGGTAAATTTGATTAAGGTTTATTATACTTAAACCTTACCGTTTTGAAATATTTTCAATTTTGTGAAATTGCAGTAAATATTTTAAGACTTCATTTCTCCAAGGTTATCAAAGTTTTTAATACTAAATATTTACTGAAGTCTATTTATTGATCAGTTATAATTTAAAAAAATAATTTAACCATTTAAAAAAATACAACTTTGATATGTTTTATTTATTTGGGACACTCTGTATCTTGTAAAAATATTTTTAAATTGTAGCTGTAATAGTCCTTCAACGAACCCAAAACTTACAATTTCTAAAAAAATCTAATCGTTTAGCTACAATACTCAGTGTCGTATGTGGTGAACAACCCTGTAGAATATATGTCAATCTTTCAAAAATAGGACACTGAATTAATACTAATAAAACAAAGCGTAACGAATATGATGAATAATTTTTAGTAAAATATGTACTTACTTAATGCTTCTAGTGTTAAGTGACTGATTGTTGCATTATCCACATCAAAATACTCTGAATTGTATTTAGAAGAACCCTTGCTGCCAGTCTGAATGCTCTCGTTTGATTTAAGCGAGGCCAGTGATATTCTACATAAAACCTACTATTACACAGAGTGTTTCAAAACAAATAAAAAATTCTGATTCCTTGTTAAAAATAAAGGGTGTTTTCAAAGTAACAAAATATAATAAAACTTAGGGTCAAGAGAAGTAAAAATGAGACATAAAAAAGAAAAATAAGGGATTGAAATAAAACGACTGAAACTTATATTCAGTCGGTTTTAGGAACATTTAACAGAAATTGAAGGGTCCAGGGGAAAACATGATAAGACCATTTTACTAATTTTACAGGAGAGCACCAGACGACTGGTGGTTATCAGGTTCTTTCCGTGTATTCTATGTTTTTACTAGACATACATCATAGGGTTTAACAACTTATTGCCCTGCAGGGTTTATACACTTTGTAGGGACCAGTTAGACCAACTATAATATTGTAAAATCCTAAAATTAAGAAATTGGCGCTTCTCAAGTTTTTTCCCTATAAACCCTTCAACTGTTAACAGATCATCCCCATGGAAAAACTGAAATTACAAATACATCGCATGGTTTTAAGGTTTAAGTTCATGGTCTAGAAAAAGTTTCCATTTAATTAAGTCCATTTAAGTTAAATCCTCTTTAGCTAGTCCACAAAAAATATCTTTAAAAAGTTGCAAACTTAGTCAACAGCGGAGATGTAACCTTAATGATATTTAAACAGCCAAAGCTTTTTTGGACTATTTTCTGCATACTGAATTTTTTCAAGTATTTCTGCTATATTTTTACTTTTGCAATAGTTTTATTACCACAGAGCCTTTTATATTTAAATGTTTGTAACTAAGAAAATGAAAGATAACGAAATATGCTGGCAGTGGTGGACTAAGCCGGTCGGGGACCCGGCGCGGCGAAGCTAAATGTGGCCCCCGCCCCGGTCTGTTTAGATAATGATATACTTCTAATGCACATTATGTAAAAATTGAATGACGTAAATTCAAGTATTTATACAGGGTGTCCCAGGCTGAGCCTGCGTTAGAAGTTTCTAGAGAACTACAATATCTAGATACGAAATTTTGTGCATATCATTAAAAATATTTTCAATATGGCGACACTTTTGGAAGTACCGGAAGTTGACAGCAACTTTCTTATTTTAAATGGGCGACCCCATTTTTTATTACATACTTAAATTTTCTGTAAAATTTTATGAATTTTGATATTAAACACTCTATACCTAACGTTAACCGTTTGTGAGAAAAAAAAATATTTATAATTTTTAGAGGAAAAAAACTGCCTGTCAAATATATGTATATAGCCTAAACGTCAAATTTAGTGATTGCCACAGCCACTGTACCATAAAGAGAAGACATGTGGCTATCTATGTCAAAAATTAAATTGTCCGAATGTCATATAATAATGGCCGCAGCTGTCATGGAATTGAGCGATTAAAAAATTATCATAAATCATTTTTTTTTCAAATGGAAATCCACTTTTTTATTTTACTCATGGAAAGGCTTTCGTTACTTTCGTTTTTAAAATTTGTTACTTTTTGACTATATGTATACATATATGTTCCTCTACCTAAAATAAATCGTTTTTAAGTTATTATTATATGTCCAGTTAATAACGAATTGGAAAACTTTTTCACTAGTGAAATAAAAAAAGTGGGTTTCCATTTGAAAAAAAAAAATATTTCTGATAATTTTTTAATCGCTCAATTCTATGACAGTTACCGCCATTATTATATGACATTCGAACAATTTAATTTTTTATATAGATAGCCACATGTCTTTTCTTTATGTCACAGCAGCTGTGATAATCACTAAATTTGACTTTTAGGCTGTACAAATTTTTTTGACAGGTAGTTTTTTTCGTCCAAAAATTTTTAATATTTTTTTCTTAAAAATGCTTCCAGGGAAATACCGCGACAAAATATCGCGATTTTGTAATTCCTCCAAGATCCGAGGGGCCCCTTCGCTGTCTGAGGACCATGGCCCCCGTTATACCAAAGACTTCACTGCTCATCATCAGTAATGAAGCTAGAATACAAGTTATGCTGTGCATTGGTTGTATATTAAAATGATTATTCAGTAAAAATAAATAATGAAACTATTGAAAAATAACTTAAAAGCTAAAATAAATAAATTCAGTCTCAAAATATATAAAAAATAATAGTTATTCGATATTTTAAACAAAGAAAATTACCACTTGATTTAATTTCCTAAATAGAAAATTCAATTGACAATTACTGGGGCCTGATAATTGATAATTAAGTAAATATCTGCTTCCATTTATACTGTTTATAGTTGGCATATACGTATGGTTTGCATACTCCACCTACAAACTGCTTTATAACTACTGAACACATATTGGCCTTGTTTGCCAGTTGAATAAAAAATTACTTATTAAGATTCGGAGGCCCCCTAAAAAACGGGGCCCGGGGCGGACCGCCCCTTCCGCCCCCCCTTTAGTCCGCCACTGTATGCTGGAAATAACCAAGAGAGACCGTAAAAGACTAGAGTGGATACTAAAAGAGACCCAGGTTGTAGATGCCATTCAGAGAGTCAAATCCCTTAAATGACATTGGACAGGACACCTGGCAAAAAGAACAGACAACAGATGGACCACAAAAATTACAGAATGGTACCCACGAGGAATTAAGAGACCTAGAAGAAGACCGAACCAGAGATGGGACCATGATATTAGGAAATTAGATTAGGGATAACTTGGACCCGCATAGCTAACAATAGACAACAATGGGCCCATCTACAAAGAGAGTATGTGAGAGAGGCTACACCATAATTAGAAATGGTTGAATAAGCTGAAAATGATGATAATGATGATGATGATGAACTAAGGAAAAAAACTAATAGTTTGGAAAAATGTCTCATTTTACACTACTTGACCCTACCTAGAATTTCTATCTCCGTCGTTAAGCACTAGATTTTCTATGGAATGAAACTGATTTAGAGGCGAAGCATCTTCCTCAAAGTCCATCAGAACTGTAATCCTCCTCATGTCTTCAGGACACAGTTCAAAGTCATCCTTTTTAAAAAAGGAATTATTGTTTATCGGTATACCACTGTGAAGGGCTTCAGTAAATAAACTGAAAAAATATAAAAATAATAGATTTGAAATTATTATTTAGTATATTTTGACATTTTTTAACTCAAAATAATCATATCTTTAGGTATTTTTGAATGTACTAGTAACAGAGAAATTTAAGTGTGTCTCTTAAATAATTGTAAGTATTTAAAGGGGAGAAAATTCTATTTACAGTACAAAAAACAACCTATATTTGATATCAATTAAACTTTTAGTTACGTAATCGAGGGCGCGATTTTTAAATTCATTGTTGCCAACCATGGAGATATACGGCGCCGGGCGGACTAACTGAAATTTAAATTTCCCGCTGGGGATTCAGGTGGTAGCTCTGCTGTAAAAAATGTCAAGTTGCCGCATTTATTTATTTATTTCCTGACATTGTCATTCATTTTGACAATGAGCATTCCTCCCTCAATGCCTCAAGAGCATTCTGGAAATTAAGAGAGAGGGTTTTCTACAATCATGACTTGAGCACAAAAACGAAACTTGCGGTGTACCGAGCGCGATAATAATTCCCACCATGTTATATGGAAGCGAAACCTGGGTGCCGTACCGCCGACACATGAACGCATTGAACAAGTTGCAACAGAGACATCTTAGACAACTCTTAAGAATAAAATGGTTCCATCATGTCTCAAACGTATCGGTCCTTGAAAAAGCTAACTGCGAGAGTATTGAAGTCATGATTACTGATTATTGAGTATTAAGTCCCGCTTAAGATGGGCTGGTCAAAATATCTGCTTTACGGTGAGCTTGTAGACGGTAAGAGAAGGCCGGGTGGACAACTCAAAAGGTTCAAGGATATTTTCCACGAAAACTTAAAGGGAATTAACAAGCAGAATGAGTGGGAAGAGGCAGCTCACAACAGAACGGAATGGAGAAGAATTGTAAAGTCAGTTAAGAGCGACAACCAAAAAGTAAAGAGGCAACAAAGCAATGAGATTTTTGAATGTCTGGAGTGCAGTAGACAAATAACATCACGTATCGGGCTTTTCAGTCACAGAAAAGCTCATGAAAGAAAACGCCTTGCGTGACAATCTTCTGATACGTGTCAAAAACTCGTCAGCGAGTAATGGCGGTATGTATGTATGTATGTATGTATTCATTTTGACATTTTAGTTTTATATATTACAAGTTTTTGGTTTAATTAAATAATGTTGTGATACTTTAAGCTTAAAAATGTTTACTAGTAGACCTTGCCATCGAACATGGTTCTTTTTAGAACCTCTTTTAGTGCACCTCTTAAGTGGTACAAGATAGCTTAGTAGCCGTAAAAAACTCATCGCAACTTTATTAGAATATTTTGAAGGGGAAAGCAGCAATGGCTCTTTACGTCCTAAGGTAGCAATGGCCCTTTACGTCCCTTAAGTATATTCTAGTAAGTCCCTCTAAGAAAATAGAGAAAAGTGGGCAACGCTGTGCCGGTGAAGCTTAATCACGTGACTAAAAGTTTATTTGGTATGAACTGTATATTTATAAACTTAATAAATCTGTATCAAATGAGAACAAAGGAGTACCTTAACAGGTATGTTTGTAAAACATACAATTCATGTTCCATTTTCCTATCCAAATTTCCCTTTACAATGATATAATTGTAAATATTTTCTCTGTTTTTACTTTGGTTCATCTCCTTGATAAGTTTCAGTCTTCTGTCTCCTTTGCATACGCGAATTAACGTGTTTATGAGCAAGAGAGCACTATACTGAAGATCCATGTTTGAGTGTTTCCATGTGTAGGGTACTATGTCTTTCAAAGGTAAGTACTGAATAATCTACATTAATATAACAATGTTAGATAGAATTTCAATCGTTATAACTAGTTTACTACAAAATTGTAATTTTTATATCATCCATCTATGTGTTGGATGTTTCTCAAAATTGGTTTTTAGATAAATAACCGGGATTTGGTATTGGAGTTCTACAGGGTGTCCCCAAAAAAATTACATATCAAAGTTGTATTTTTTTAACCTATACATTAATTTATTTCCGGATTCTGGGAGAAAAATAAAGCTGAGTTTTATTAGAGAGGTATATGATAAAAATACAAGGATTTTAACATATTTAACATTTTCTAAAAATAAAGAACTATTTTTAAATTACAATAAAATCTACCTAAATTGGAATTTACCCGGTATAGCCTAATATGTAGTTAAATTAACTATTGTACTTTAAATCAAATTAAATAACTTGATCCAAAGAGTTATACAGGGTTAGACAAAATTAATATTAAACATTGGCCACCTCTAAAAGCAAGTTACTCTTTTATTTTAAATGGAACACCCAGTATATTATTCAGATATTCAATGGGGAGTTTATGTCTCTTCAAAATACTATTAAGGTTGCCTACCACCCAAACAGAGATTTTCCAAGATATTTTCATTTTTATGATTTAGTGTCAGTAGATTTTTAATATTTGATAAAATCTGGGTGGGTGTGATATGTCTGACGTTAGTTTAATACTCACCTTTTCCTTCCATGGATCAAAAACATGATTCCTGCTAACCAATATCTTCTGCAAAATAGACAAACTATAATTATAGGTTTCTAAAGGTTTGTCTGTGTTGTTCAATATATTAAAAATTTTCTGCAGTATGTTTTGACTAGTATCTTTTATTCTTCCCTTAGAGAACAAGTGAAGAATGGTTATTAGTAAAGGCAGTTCTTCTTCGGTTTCCTCTAAATTCTCAGTTATGAAGATATCGATGAGTTTTATATGACCCTCACTGTCAGCTGAAAAATAAGATTTTTTTGTAACAGATACACTGATATAAGTTATTAAAGAAAATATTATATTCTATGATTACATATCTATACAATTTTTTTGAAATTTATCAGGACGTATGACCGAGAAAGATTTGCGAGAAAGAAAAAAAAATTGCAAAGATTCGGAAAACACAACCGCTAAGACGTAAATTCGATCTTTGTCGACTGGCTTCTCCTAACATTCAAAACCAAATAAAGCACCAGATAGAAGAAATAAACATCGACAATTCAACTGTAAATATAGAAGAGAAACGGGAAGAAGTTAAAGAAAGCCTTCAAAAGATTGCCGAAGAAAACCTCGGATATCAGAGACATATTAAAAAGCCATGGATCTCAGGTGGCACATGGGAAAAGATTAAAGAAAGAAAAGAAATTAAACCAAAAATTCTACAGGCAGGCCACAGCACACAAATAAGAATACTAGAGGAGCAATATCGCACAAAGAATAAGGAAGTGAAGAGATCAGCAAGAAGAAATAAACGCTTGTGGACAGAAGAACTTGCAGAAAAAGCTCAAATGGCAGCTGAAGTAATTGATTCCAAGACACTTTATCACACTACTAAAACGTTTGCCAATAAAAACATTGATAGGGAATGTCCCATAGTAAAAGATAAAGAAGGAAATATACTGACCTCAAAAGACGATCAGCTGCACAGATAGACAGCATTTTTTAGTGAGCCTCAACAGGTAACATATGATATTGATGAGGTACCGTCTCCAACAGAGAACTGCAAATCTAGAATCGCAACACGTGCTCCATCGATTCAAGAAATTAAGCAAGCATTATCACAGCTGAAAATTGGCAAAGCGGCAGGTCTTGATAATATACCCGCTGAACTATTTAAGATACACCCAGAAAGTATTGCACAGCTACTAGAGACAATAATAAAAATTAGTTAGGAAACAGAACATATCCCGTCAACGTGGAAAGAAGGACTTATTGTAAAACTCCCCAAGAAGGGTGACTTATCCCAGGGTAAGAACTGGCGAGGCATTACCTTACTTAACACCATTAACAAGATAATTGCTACAGTCATCCAAAAAGGAATATCAGATGCCCTTGAACCGACTTTGAGAAAAGAACAAGCGGGCTTTAGGCCTCAAAGATCGTGTATCGACCAAATTAATACTCTCAGAATAATAATAGAGCAATCTCAAGAGTTCAGATCGCCATTATACATGGTGTTCGTGGATTTTCAAAGAGCATTCGATACTATAAAACAGATAGCCATCTGGAAAGCTTTGAGAGAAAAAGAAGTACCCGAAAAAATAATCCGCATGATTAAAATGCTTTATCATGATGCTACAACCTGTGTATTACATAAAGGTTAAGTGGGGGAGAAAATGTCTATTGCAGTAGGTGTAAAACAGGGCTGTATACTTTCGCCGCTACTCTTTAACATCGTTCTGGATGTAGCACTAAATAGAGCATTTAAAGAACCGCTAGGGATACAATGGGGACTCTTAAGCAGGTTAGAAGACCTGGATTACGCAGACGATATATGCATCTTTTCTCATTCACATTCGGATATGTCTCAAAAACTTCTTAGACTCCAAGAGCAAGCTAATAATGTCGGTCTTCAAATTAACGTGGCGAAAACCAAAGAAATGAGGTCAAATACTCCCAACAACCAAGATCTATACCTCTCCAACCTAGCCATCGAAAGAGTTGATGAATTTCAGTACCTGGGAAGTATGGTTCACAGCGATGGGAGCACAGAGAAATATATAGAGGAAAGGATTTTGAAAGCACAAAGAGCTTTTGGCATGATTACACCTGTGTGGAACTCCTCTATATATAGCAAAAAAACTAAAGTCCAGCTCTTCAGTAGCAATGTCAAATCTATTTTGCTTTATGGATGCAAAACATGGAAGGTTACGCGTGGTCTCATGGATCGTCTACAGTGTCTTTGAAGAATATTGAGAATTTTCTGGCCCAATCAAATTAACAACGAAGAACTGTGGAGAAGAACATCACAAAATCGAATAGATATCGAAATTAAGAAAAGAAAGGGGGGCTGGATTGGGCACATTTTGCGCAGGCCCTACAGAGATATCGCTAGACAGGCACTTGAAAGGAATCCACAGGGAAGACGTGCCAGGGGAAGACCAAGGAATGCCTGGAGAAGAACAGTAACCTCTGAAGCCCAAGAGGTTGGGAAAACATGGGGAGAGATCAAACAGACAGCTCAGAATCGGATCAGATGGAAACATCTCTTAGAAGCCCTATCTATGTCCCACGAAGGGATGACGGGAACATATATATATATGACCGAGAAAGATATAGATTTTCCTTAATTTCAGTTAGAACAAAATGGATTGTCATGGTTTTTTTAACAGGACACTGTCTTCTCAATAAACACTTCAGTAGATTGAAGCTAAGAAATAATGGAGAATGCAGACTCTGTGGGGAAAATGGGAAAATACCAGAACACCTCATCACTAAGTACGCCGAGACGTCAACCATTCGTGCCATAAATTTTGGTATGACTGATATCGAAGATGGAGAACTAACCTCTGCGAAACCGTTTTAGATACTAGCATTTGTCAAAGCCCTGAGACTGTATGATGAGTTATAACTCATTATAACTCAAGAACAGGGGTCTTTAAGATATTTCCAGATCTTTAAAATCGTGGTGATTAACCTGCTTCCATTACATGTGCTAACAGACACGAGTAGTCGCAATAATGTCACCACAATTTAAGAACTACTTCTAGTGGATGTCGAGGAACCAATAAGATCTACTAATAGTTATTTTTTATACAAAAAAGATTAATTCACGAGCGATGAAATCGCGAATGAATTAATTTCGGGAGACGACAATGCAATTTTATCGTCGTGTATAAAACAATATTTTTTCCATAGCGAGTTACGTTTTAAAAAATATTCAGAAATTATTATTTCAAGGAATTTATTACTAGTAGAAACGATATTATGCTAGGTTGGCGTTGGTTTCTATGTAATTTGACAAATAAATAAAGCTGTCTCTTTAGTTGTCAGTTTTGAGTCAATATTTTTTATTCGACTCTTTCGTGTCGATTTCGATTGCTGATTGAATTGGAGCCAGAAATGGCTCAAAACGAAATAAGTAAATTACCAACAGATATTCAGGCTGAGGCGACAAACGCCATATTCAAACTACTTCCATTTAAATCCCGAATAACTTATGAAAAGGAATACAAAAATTTTTAAAAATGGAAGCAATTAAAAAACGTGCAAGAAGAAATAAAGTTTTTAACCTATCCTCGCTATAAAGTATAATTTAATCTACCCTTGCGGTTAAAGTACTATTTTATCTACTATTTTTGATAGATATAAGGCAATTTTAACAGTTGCTATAGAAAAAAGTATATTATCTTGAAACATTACATGTGCAAAAATGGTCCAAAACTGGCAAAGGAAGATGATGTTTTTGTCCCAGAAATCATGAAGGCATGGAATGTGTGCAAATGGATATGTACATTCCATCAACATTGGCTTAGCAAATAAGTAAGGCCCAAGCAATTTCCGAATCCGAATATTCAAGGAATTAATGTTTAGTTATTATTTACCAGTTTTTCAATGTCTACAATTATTAAAATTGATGTGTCTTAAATAGTTACTCATATGACATCCAAATTACTCTTTTTTCTCGTGTTTCTCATCAAAAATTAATTGGGATGTTAAAATACCCCATGTGAGTACTTACTAGGAGTAATTAAAATATATATTACGATATTTAAAATTATTATTTACACTTACCAAGTTCCTCTATAAATACCGGATCAGTTCCCAATCTATCAATGTACTGAAAGACAGTGTCTCTCAATGCTGGATCGAAAATATGAGTCTCTATATAACTCAGTATATGTTTGATCGAAAATACCACTTTTAAACAGTCGTTGTGTTTGATGTTTAAATAATTATCTTCGGAAACGTAATGGTTTGTTAAATTGTTTTTGGTCGGATTGTGTTTCAAACCAAACACGTTTGATTCGGGCTAAAATAAATACATTTAACAGTAAAATCGTTTAATTCCAACTGTGTGTCATTTTTATATTATTATTGTTATATTAGATATAATATGACACTTAATTTCATTTAGTGTTATTCATTAAGTAATATTTTCAAAAAACAAAAAATGGCTGGTTTGAGGTACATTGTGTGTATTTCGATTTTTGCTTAGAATTGAAGGAAGAATTGAAATATGCAATAATATACAGGGGGTTTCATTTAAAAAAATGAAACTTTGATATGCCACGACTTTATGACCGACCCTGTATACTTAAATTTATTACTCTCTAATAGATATTTAAAAACCCTATAACTTTTGTATTTAACTTTTTGCGGTACCTCGTATATTTTACGTAATAATCGACCGTTCCCATACATATTAGCGACCCTGTATAATAATTCTAAAAGTGTTAGGAAGTATAATTTGTGAAAATTCTAAGAAAAAAAAATAAAAAAGTAAATATTTTGATATCTACAGAAGGTCTAACTTGTATTATAATTTATTATTGAAGCTAATCAAAACTTTTTAGATGAGTTCAACTATGGTAGCGAGCATAGTTTTACGCACCGGTTTTGCTAGTTGAGACATAACTTGGGCTATTTCGGTTATAACGATATATACAGGGTGTCCCAGAAATATGTGCAAGTATTTTAAGGGGTGGTAGATCTCGATAAAAGAAACATATTTTCTTTTTATCGTTTTTCAAATAAGTCCAAAATAACGGAGTTATATTATTACAGTTGAGGGTTGGAACCTTTGGTGTTACACAGCAAAATCAAACACTAAATCAACACAATACACCAAAACACTTTTACTTTTACACTGGACGCGCGTTTCGCTAACCATGTTAGCATCATTAGCAGATAATTAAAAACTGAAACTAAATCATTTGCTAATGATGCTAACATGGTTAGCGAAACGCGCGTCCAGTGTAAAAGTAAAAGTGTTTTTGTGTATTGTGGTGATTTATTGTTTGATTTTGGAGTTATTTTACTTTGAAAATTTCCAAAAAAAAATGTTTATTTGCTAAAATTTTGAGAACCACTGGATCTTTTCTGGGTTTTCTTTCTTGTAAATTTAATCTAATACCTATGTTGTCATATTATGACGAAATTATGTTTTTTAACTAAAAACTAAAAAAAAATCCAAAAAATTTTTCAAAAAATTTCGAATTTTAATTTCTCGCGAAAAAAACCTCATAGGCGTGTTTCTGGGATTGAACTATAACTACCAGTTAAAATATTTTGAGAAACACACATATTATTATCTAACGCTTGTCCAACGAATCACGGAAGATTTTGACAGACAACATCTAAAAATAATCGAAATACAATTTACCTGTAAACTGTAATTTATAGTTACAGAAACAACTATCACCCACAATTATCCTTTCGCTGCCACAAACTTTAGTAAATATTTTTTTAATCAAAATTCTGAGCATTCATAAGACAATCAAAATTGTAAATTAAAAAAAATTTGAAAGATCTACTTCAGGTACAATAAGGACGATATTTCTGTTATAATTAAACAATATATTAGTTAGTTTTTATTCTTATTTTATACTATATCTACTCACGATTCCAGTTTTTTCGCAGATATCTTTAATATTATCCTCCAAGCTTTTACTTTTGTCGAAATCATATAAAATTTGTTCTTGTGAATCATATTTTTCAACGGATATTTTTGCTATCGTCGTCATCTTATATCCTATAATTTTACAAAACAATTTCTTTCCTACAATAAGCAAAAAAATTAACATTAGTACCACAGATTAGGTATCCTATAAGTATACAGATAAAAATCTTGTCCCTAATTCGTGGTACGAAAATTGTTTTTTATGACGATGTGCAAACGAGTCAAATTTCCTGTGCGCAAAAATAAACTCGCGTAAAATAATAATAAACAGCGTAATAGAGAGATATCGCTAAACCGAATAGCGTGCATGGACGTTAATAAGGCCAGGTGTTATTTCCTTTACGGAGGTGGTATTAACTCTCTTCATTTATAGTTATCGGATCGGAAAGAATTCTGATCGCGTCGCCTCCGCTATTTAAACTTAACCTAACTTTGAATTTAAAACTTTGAAATTGTTTTGTTTACTAGGTATTTTAAAACTAAAGGGCTAAAGTGCTTATTTCCAGTGCTTTATTGTTCAACGTCTGCCTGTGGGTTTAGGGCAACAAGCAACAAATTCTCTTAGAAGGGCTAAGTCGTCATCTGCTGTAAACCTAAGACTCTTTATAGGTTCTTTAGTATTGGAAGAGGTGGAATCCATATTTTAGGCCATATTTATTTAATTAAAACTAATCCCAGCTACTTAAATATCAAATTACCTAATAAAACTAAAGCAATAATTCAAAACAATTTAAACATAACCTAAAATAAAAGATCTCGCCGCGCCGGCCGGCTCCGGTTGTCAAATACCCGCACATGCCCATTTAAGCAATTTTTAAACGTTATCAGAGGTTATTTAGAAAGAGCGCTTGGTGTAATTGATCCGCAAATTACGTCAGGCGGTAACGTTATTAGCGGGTGTTGCGTTAAAAATTGACTCGCGCATATCGTAACCATGATAAGGTACGCGTAAATACTGGATGACGCTATTCGGTCCGATATCTCTCTAATAACTGTGCCGGTCAGGCGCTGTGCACAATTTTAGAGGCCATAAGTGGGCGTGCTATGTGCGCAAACTAGTAACCTAACTAGTGCCCGATTCCGAAAATTGAAACCAATAAAGAAAAAACAAAGATTATAATCTGTGTTAGTACCTTAAAATAGGTAAATAATAAGTTTAAAAGCCAGCAAACAAAATAGAAAATACTACAAAAGAAGCCATGTTTCTTCAAATTGCTAAGTATATTGTTGAGAACAATTTTTTTGTCCCTCCAAGTTTATAGTCGCTTTTAAAGTAAATATGTCTAATAATATTCTTTAATACATATCAAAACTTTTAAAAACTCAATTCCGTTTTATAAAAACTTCAGTTTATTTTAGAGACAACATATTTTTCATAAGTTGATTGAAAACTTTTCAGGCAATAATACAAGTTCTAAGTCAATGAAACTTCTTACTGCAATAATAGCGTTATTTTTGAAATAAAATTATAAGTATTTTTGAAAAAGTTTTCAATAATTCAATTTTTGAAACTTAGTTTGGACGAAATATAGGAGACTGTTATTTCGTTCTGAAACTATTGCTTTCAAAATATGTTTTTTAATATAATAAGCTTAATATTGTTGTTATCGAAGATATTCAGATAAACTATTATTCACTTATAGGCGGGGTGTATTTTATGTTATTTCTTGTTTATTTTATAGTTGGTTTTATGCAAAATGTACGAATTTAGAAACACATTGTGTCACAACCTGAATTACAGTGATATTATTAAGAGTCTATTTCACTAGTCCGAAAAAGTAGCAAAATAAGCGTTCGCCATTTAACGTTTTATGTAAAACTGGCTAGGTATTTTTACACAAATGAAGAAGGAAATTAAAGAATATCCGTATTGTAGCACATTTTTAGACAACTTCTTTAATTTATAGATTTTGATGGTCAAACATCAACAAAATATTCCTCATGTTTGGACTAAATTTTCTCGAAAATAAAGATAAAATTTAAAATTCCGTTACAATACCGAAATAGATTGAAGTTTTGTGATTACAGTGATATATAATTTATATGATTTTGTAACAAATTGTTCGCTATTATATGGCAAAAGCTAAAGCTCTGCAAACCTTAATCAAGCCTTAATCAAAGCATGTGTGTTTGGAATTTTGTGTGTGGCTTAAGACGACAGGATCGGGCTAAGCCTTAGGCAGATTACTAAAATATAATATATATTTCCTTGGGCCACACACCCGCTTTACCCAGACAGTACAGCGTAAAAGCTCCGCGCGCACTGCATCGGATCGGGCCAGCGAGAAACGGCGAAGGCGATGACTCGACTATCGTAGATAGATAGAGGTAGGAATCTGGCCTCTACAGGCCGAAATGTTTTAGTGGACGCCGGCGCCGTCTATATGTACGATGGTCGCAGTCGCTTTTGCTGGTCGGTCCGATCCGATGCAGTGCGCGCGGAGCCTAATAGACTCTTAAGAATCTAAGAAAGCTTTTTAAAAAGCAGTTAAAATAAAAATATGAAAAACAATGGAACAACTTTTCACTAGTAAAGATCATTATAAATATGGCAAGAGTAGTACCTAAACAAAATCAATGAAAAAAAATTATTTAGAATTACCTAATTAGTTTATTATAATTAAGTGAATAATAAATAACTAAGACATGTCAATTTCACTTAGCTGTTTCAGTAGAGTATCTGCATTTTTGTTATTAAATAATTATAACAAATTATTTCCTTTTATTATAAAATACGTACGTTTTTATCAATTTTAATTTTAAAACATCATATTTATTGAAACTAAAAAATAAATAGTAAACTACTTTTATTTCTTAATGTTTTTATTAAATAATATGTGAAAAACAAATAAAAAAGAATATGTATGCAAGGAATGCATTACCGCATAATTATTAACGATAGAATATAGAGACCTTCGGTCCTAAGATTTCAGTATCGGTATCCGGTATCATGAAGTACCGGTCCTATAACCGGTATACCGATTCCAACAATTAGATTGGTGGAACCGATACTGAACCGGTATACCGACTGGACCGGAAGACCGGTTGGACCAGAAGACCGAAAGACCGGTTGTACCGGGTGAACCGGAATATCGGAAAGACCGAAATAACAGTTTTGGTTGTTGTACCAGTGAGCATATACCTCATTATACCGTATTAAAAAATGTGAATAGAAAGTTCTCGTGCCTGTAACGTTAAGTAAATACGGTAACATAATAAATATACGGTATTTTGAGAGATAAATTAGATTTCTCGGAATATATCGTAAATCGAACCGTTACCGTTATAACGTTATTGATCTAACTTAACATTCCTATTGTTGATGTTCACATTTCCGGCATATTCTTGATTTCTTGTCCAACATTCTCTTTACTTATGAAAAATAAAAATAATACTGGAAGCTGCTGTTCTTGGAGATATAAATGGAGCGGAATTAAATTGCTATTTTACATATTTTAAATAATAGAGTAGACGCTATTGAATATCGAGTTTTACGGGTATTTTAGTTTATAAAATTGAGTGATCCATAAGTAAGATGCTTTACTTGAATTTTAGATATACTAAAAAAACAAATCTAGATTACTAGACCAAAGTAGACTAGCAATGCCTTATACATCAAAATAAATTTCATTGCATGTTCCTGACCGTATTATACCGAATGATCGAAAAAAACGGCGTCCAGTTGGCTTGGAAATGAACATCGATTACATTTCCCATATAATATTACATATAAAATGACAGCGATCTTCATTTCATAGCCATCGCTAACGCAGTTTCTTTTTATCGTACTATACTTAGAGTAGGAGAACACAATCAGCTTTGCAGAAAAACCGGTACCGAAATCATTTTATACAGGTTTTTCCATTTTCATATTATCATTCAATCTATTTTTCTGTACCGATTGGCAACCGGTCCTCCAGTATCGATTGAAACCGGTCTTTCGGGACCGATTTAAACCAGTCTTCCGGTACCGGTACCAAAATCGGTCTTCCGGTACCAGTACCGAAACCGGTATACCGGTCTTGTAAAAGACGATACCGATACCGGAATATTTCAAAAGTACCGGTCCTGGTACCGGTATAAAGGAAGACCGAAATCATTTTATACAGGTTTTTTCATTTTCATATTATCATTTAATCTATTTTTCTGTAGCGATTGGCAACCGGTCCGCCAGTAACGATTGAAACCGGTCTTTCGGGACCGATTTAAACCAGTCTTCCGGTACCGGTACCAAAATCGGTCTTCCGGTACCAGTACCGAAACCGGTATACCGGTCTTGTAAAAGACGATACCGATACCGAAATATTTCAAAAGTACCGGTCCTAATAGAATAAAGAATAGGTAAGCCTAATACAATAAAGCTGTATAATGCTGTTTTCGGCGTTATTTAAAGAAAAATAATATACAATTAAAAAAATAAAATTATTCTGTTTGAATTTGATTTTTATATTTCCTAAAAAAATATGCCCAGATAAAAGTATTTCAAATATGAATGACACATTTAAAAACATAGTTAAAAACATTTCAAAATTAGACGGGGTAAAAAATATAGTAAAATTACAGCAAATCGTATATCTGCTATAATACTCTGTTTATGACATACCCGAATAATTAATCTGTCTAAAAAATCAATTTGATTAGTGACATCTACACTCCAAATATCAACTTTTTAGACGCTCTCCTCGGCGCTCTGTTTTTAAAAACCTATAGGATATTAAATGTATTGAAAATGATTACAATGAAAAAAATTATATCGTTTAAGATATTTACTCTGAGTATGCTGTATATTTTCTAGCTCAGTGGTTAACGGTTAAATACCCATTTCAAAAGTACCATAATGTCGTATTGTATACGAGCGGTTTTTAAAATATGACCATTTTTATACTAAATTTGTTGCACTTTTAAAGCTCGGCTAAAATTATGAAGATGCCCAATTACCCCAATTACTTATATCATTTAATTGGAAATATTTTAATAAGAGTGTACTTTTCTCTTTTAAAAACTTGGTGTAATATAAAATACACTATCATCATCATCATCATCATTTCATCAGGTTATTCAACAATTTCGAATTCTGGTGTAGCCTCCCACAAATATTTAGATACTCTCTTTGTAATTGGGCCCATTGTTGTCTATTGTTGTCTATGCGGGCTTAAGTTATCCCTGCTAATTTTCTAATATTATGGTCCCATCCCAGGTTTGGTCTTCTAGGTCTCTTAATTCTTCGTGGGTACCATGCTGTAATTTATGTGGTCCATCTGTTGTCCGTCCGTCTTGTCAGGATTTCTGCCCATTGCCTGGAGAGATTTGATTCTGTTGATGACATCTATTACCTGGATTTTTGTCAAATCCACTCTATTATTTTACGGTTTTTCTTGATTATTCCCATTATTTTATTTATCTACCCGTTGGGTATTTGCCCTCCGCCAGGTTAAATCAGCAGCACATTGAGTTAAAAATGGTCTTATTTATGTACTATCTAATAGAAAATCTATTGAGTTAAAGAATATATACAATGCATTCTATTTAAAAATAAACTTCACTCAATGAGCCTGTATATTGACAAAATAGTTTTTATAATATCAATCCAGAAACGACATAGAGCTTATTGGGATTGTTGTATGCATTATTATAGTAATATTTACATATTTATGATGGATAAAAAAGGACTCAAAACTTACCCGAAATATTGAGCTAGAAAACTCGATAAACTTAAGATGATATATCTAACCAATCTTACTACAGTTTTTACAGGTAAATGTTCATAAAATACGCGAAAGCAAGGCGAACTGTGACTAATTACAATATAATTTTTCTCTATATGTTAAAGAGTAAAATAAACCAAGCAACAGACTTTGTGATAATATGCCAAAACAAAACAGAAAATAAAATTGTTGTTAGTGCACTTCCCGTATGTGGTTTTATTGAAACAATGATTAAACTCCATAATCTTATCTCCTAGCGAATATATAGATCAAACACGTCATATTTTTGTTAGAAATTGTATTTATTTGAGAATTATTACATCGTACTGTTTATTACATAGCTGAAATTATAAAAGGAACCCAAAGCCAATACCGTATTACCGAGAACAAAATAGTAACCTTTCAAATGAACAATCAATATTGATTTTTGATTTGATAGATATATTTCTATATGTCATTTGTTAAAAGGTGACATTATAATTTACTCAAGAAAGTCAACTTCAAAAAATAACAATTAATTTAGAAAAAAATATAAAGTCTCCAGAAACAAAGATTTATTTAAAAAAATATTTTTTACTAAATCATTTTTGCCTGTGAATGATTTTCGTATCTCCAACTTTATGTTTTTTAAAATATTAATTTTTCACATATTTTTAGGTGTTTTATTTTTATAAATGATTTATTACTATTTCCTTTCTTTTACCCTTGTTTATATCTTTTACTTATATTACTAATTATTAAAAAAACTATTTTTTTATAATTTATATCATTATTCTACTTTATTAATTAATGTTATTCTTAATTTTAATAAGGCTCAGACTGACAAAAATTCTTCACACAAAAAACTGTATTGTTATTTCAAACAACTTTGCATCAGTTAAACTTATAAAAATAAATTGAAATTGTTGGTTAGGCAACTAATAAATTATTGGAGTTCTATATTTTGACTTTGTTGTTAATATCAAGTTTCTATTTGAAGAAAAATAAAATAATCATTTTCCACAAACAAACATACCGGGTGTTTTTCAAAGGTGGCTCACCCTTATAACTTTTTTATTTTTTCAGAAAAGCAAAGAAATTTGGTATGTTAGTAGGTATATGACATAAATATGAAAATGTCAAAATTTGACATATCATATGCCATTCTATTCAGAGTGTTATTTTCTATCGACTAACGTAAAAATATACCGAGGGTGCTATTTAAAAATCAAAATTTGGAGTAATTTCTGGTGAAACAGGAAGTGACGAAAAACAATTGAATACGTCAATAAATCCTGATTTATGTCATATATTAACATACCAAATCTCGTTTTTTATCTCCAAAAATAAAAAAGTTATAGAGGCGAGTCACTTTTGAGCCGCACCCGGTATAATTTTCTTTATCTAAATTATAGATAGAGCTTATTGATTCGTATATATATATATATATATATATTCTTTTATATTATTAGTTTAAATATACCTTTAAGAAAAGCAGATTTTTTTTCGAAAATAAAAAAACATAATTTAAATTAATTGAGGGCAAATAAATAATTGCAAAAGATTTAACGAAACTCGTAAAATCCGAATTTGTAACTAGATTATTCATTCAAGGATAAATTGCAAATTAATAGAATGAGAGTGAGAAAAAAGCTGCTAACGATTCCACAAAATATGTAAAATCCAAATCTATTATGACAAACATTTTTTTCTGAATCAATAATAATATTGACTTTTTTTTCATAATACGTAGGTATAAAAAAATATATCTATGACTTGGACTTCCCATCAAAATATCGGATTTTACTATTAATAGCAGTACTATTTTTTAACTAGTATAGTATTAGCACAGATTATCTGTAGTATTAGGTATACTACTTCTCTAGATAGGGATTTAATAAAAATAAATTTTCCAAGAAAAATCTCCTGTGTAATTATTGTAATTTTCCTAATAATTTTCAACTAGTTTCAACAAATAGTTCAACGTACTGACTGATAGAACTTATTGAGTTTTTTTAGACATAGTTCACGGGATTATTTCAGTATTGTATCTTTTATTGTTAATTGTAGACTGTTGTCTAGAGATACAGAGCCATATACCGGGTGTTTCAAAGTCAATTTTTAAACTTCAATGACCACTGTGACGCTGTTTTATTTTTCGATAGCATATGGTACTTTGCAGATACCTAAACTTTAAAAAACATTGAAAAACCCAGGGCTGCCCAATCAAATTTTTGGTTAGGCAAAATTATTCGGGCCCTGTTTTGATTTTGTTGTTGATATCGCGTTCCTATTTGAAGAAAATGAAAATAATCAATTTCCACACACATACAGGGTGAGTTTCAAATAAGTGCAAATATTTTTGGGAGTGGTATTTTTCGACTCCAGAAACATGTCTATTAAAAAATTATGACTGTGAATTGTAAATTTGAGTAGTATGGCTTGCCTAGTACTATGATTTTTCTGAGGATATACTAAGTAATATAATGAAAATAATAAACTAAAACAAAACTAGAAATAAGTATACAAAATCAATAAGATATCGAATATATCGAATATATGTAATAATTTAAATAATCATACAATGTTTTTACTTTGCAGTAGGTATTTTTGGGAAACGTTCTATTACTTCTTACATCTATGGTGTTAGAATATCCTAATAATTGTAAAGGAATCTGTTGATAATATCCGATGTCCGGTGTATTTTACCGGAGTGTATTTCTGGTTTTTTCAGAATTAACGGAATCACTAATTTTTAGTCAAGTCAAAAATAAACTTTTCCGTTTTGTACCGGATTTATAGAAATGATTACCCACAAAATTTCTATAACATTGAAGGACGATTTTGTCATCTATGATTTCAGGATAATTTTGATTAAAATCAAATATAATTTATAGCAGGTTTTTTTCTATTTAATTGTAGCGCATTTCTCAATATTTGGTAATTTATGTATAATAATAATAATAATAACGTTTATTAAACATTTTTTCTTGAAATTAAAACAGATACAAAATAGTACAGTACAATACAACATAATATGCTAATATATAGTTCATAAATATCAAATAAACTTTAAAATTTTTTAAATTTTACGTAACATAAACAAAAACAAATAAAAAAAGGTTTTTTCAAACGTCACAAAATTATTAATTTTTGCGACGTGATTGACAATATAAAAAAGTCATTTTAACGCCTAGGCTCTCTATAAAAGTAAAGTACTTTTACGCCTGCACAAAAGTACGAAAATATATTATTAGACTGACATGAAGTGTATGATCGAGAAAAAATGGCGTCAGCGATGGCTATGGAATGGAGATCGCTGTCACTTTATATGTAAATTTATATGGGAAATGTCATTCATGTTCATTTCCCAGCCACCTGGACGCCATATTTTTTTTTCGATCATACGGTATTACTTTTAAATCTTTTTATATTATTTGGAACGTTTGAAATTGCTTAAAAAATTATATGTGGCGTTTGAAAAAATAAATAGCATATTCTATTCGGAATTCGGAGTATAAAAATGACTTTTTGTGGCTCACCTGTATGTCGTAAAACGTACAACTTCGCCACGAAAAGTGTAATTTTTACTCCTAATAAAAAAAATAAAACAATACCGGGTGCGTCTCAAAAGTAGCTCAACCCTATAACTTATTTTATTTTTTCAGATAAAAAATTGAGATTTGGTATATTAGTATATGACATAAATTAGGATTGATTGACGTATTCAATTGTTTTCTGCCACTTCCTGTTTCACCGGAAATTACTACAACTTTTGATTTTTAAAGGGCACCCTCGGTGTTTTTTTGTTTTTCGATAGAAAATGACATTCTGAATAGAATGACATATCATATGTCAACTTTTGACATTTTTGAATATGGTTTATTTGAAATTGCAACATGCGATTCATAACGACAATTATTTGACTCGAAATACCAAGTGTGTGGTATCAAATTATTCGTAAAAAAATGCTTTTTCCAAATATGCTAATGAGCCACCCTCATTCCATTTGAAAAAATTGAGATGTGATTAAAAATACGATTTGGGCATCTTTTAACCGGCCAGGACAAGACACAAATAACATTAGACGACCAAATTTATTTTCCCAACGCTCCTTGATTAAAAATTAGTGTTTTAACTCTAGATTGAAATTTAAAATTCAATTTTATTTTAAGCAAAAATGTCAAAAGTTGACATATGATATGTCATTCTATCGAGAATGTCATTTTCTATCGAATAAAGTAAAAAAATACTGAGGGTGTCATTTAAAAACCAGAATTTGGAGTCATTTCCGGTGCGACAGGAATTAGCCGAAAAGAATTGAATACGTCAATCAGTCCTAATTTATGTCATGTACTAATATAATATATACTAGTTTATTTTTTTTTCTTTTTTCTTAAACCTTTAGAATTATATCCATATATATTTTTTTTCCTTTCTTGGGTATGAGGTTTTTTTTTATTAATTGAAAATGGAAACTTTTTTTTTATTATGCGACGTTTCGCCTCATCATGGTGGGTTTGCTCAGGCACTTTATTCTTGAGGCCGCAGCCGCCTTGCTACCACCAGTCTATATAGAAGAATGATAGAACATTCTATTTCTATAGAACATTCTATTCGCAGCAAGGCGGCTGCGGCTTCAAGAATAAAGTGCTTGAGAAAGCCCACCATGATGAGGCGAAACGTCGCATAATAAAAAAAAAATTTCCATTTTCAATTAATAAAAAAAACTTCATACCCAAGAAAGGAAAAAATATATATATATATGGATATAATACATGGTACAAAGAATACAAGGTATGATATTGCACAGGTTGGTCGCTACGTCACAGGTGATAACAGGCGCTATTGGTCAGCACGCTCCGCGCGCCAGTTCAAATCGTCAAGATATTGTTATAAACCTGTTTTTTTGTTTATATACCGTCATTGAATTATCGCTAAGCAAGTTACTGTGGAGCAGTGCGTAAGGAGTCGGGCTAGGAAACGAGAGACCGGAGTTCAAATCTCGGCCGGGACATAACTTTTTATTTATTTTTTTAAATACTGTTGTATTCTATAGTTTATTTTTGTAGTATAAAAAAAAGAACTATTTATTCTGTTATTTTTAATCTCCGTTATAATATAAATTGATTGTTAGTACAATACCTCATTTAATATAAAATAATATTCTACTTTTTGAAATGTATCGGGCCCTAATTGTACCTAAAAGTAATATATTTTTAGTGATATACCATATTGTAAACTATTTAATATTTTAGTCACTTAAAAAGTTAATTTGCATTGAATAATTGCCTACCATTAAAGGAAATTTGAGCTATATAATCCTTGATGGGCATATTCTGGGTATGCAAATACTTCCTTTAAATTTTGGGTGTCGTTCAACCGATTTATTCTCAAAACCAGAAACTTCTACATATAAAAAGAAGCAGAGGTCACTAATTATAATAAACTTCACCCTTGGTATTACTTCCACTAATTATAATAAACTTCACCCTTAGAATTACTTCTATCACAATTACAATACGTTCATCTGCATTGGCATTTTCTACTTTTCGATGGGAAACAATAAACTTCCCAATATTTTTTAAATGATGTAACAATTCCTCTTGTGGTTACTTTTCCATAGATATCCTCAACTCTGTCCTCATGTGAATTCAGAGGCAATGAAAATGAAAATTATTTACCATAAACATCGCAAACTAAAAACCTAATAAACAATTTTATACCGAATATAGAAATAAATTCAGTATTCTTACCTATCGTCCAAATCCATGTTAATAGATAATTATTATTTTTAAATATATTTTTGGAACTGCTGGTTTTAGTAATTATTAAATTAAACGAACTAAAAAGTCTTAAAAATAAACAATTCTTAACCATAACCCCAAAAAATGCAGATCTCCTGCCAACTTTCTTTATTTTTTATTTATTCATTATTTTCCTAGTGACGTCATAGGTGGTATGTGCGAACTGAACGAAATTGGAGCCGCTATCGATCATACCTTGTATCCTTTGTACCATGGATATAATATATACTAACATATCAAATCTCATTTTTTATCTGATAAAAAAATAAAAGAAATACAGTGGTGAGCCACTTTTGAGACGCACCCGGTATACTATTTTTCTTAACTATTTATGTTAATAAACTTGTTAATTTCCTATGAATCTCTTTCTATTTATTGACAAACGCTCACATTTGCTTGAGTACGTCACCGGTATCTACTACCACCGGTACTATTTTCCGAAACAGGTCTCTCACAGCGTTCCGCCGCGACCGGATCAATCGTCGACGCCATCAAAAGGTGGTTCCTCCGTACCGCCACCTCACCGCCGGCTTGCGTCACCGATTTCATCTTAAGCGGCCGCCGATGGGGGATCCCGATCTCCCTTTTTTTCGGCCGGCCAGCGTAAATCCCCACGTCGATGACGGTACCGCCAGCGACGTTGCCGCATCGTGCGCTGACTATTTCTCGCGATAGGTGGTACTTCTCATATACTCTATGCGAATTAAACACCGATTGAATTTTTGCGTTTTTAATGTGTGTATACAGGGAGGAACTGAAATAAAATTGGAGTTTACACTTTTTGCTATTATTATTATTTTTATACAGGGTGAGTTTCCTACGATATTCTCTATGGGTATCTCAGAAACTAATGGAGATAGAGAGTTGGTTAAATGGGGAAAGAATAGAATTACAGTTTTGTGGGGTCATAAATATACGCCTTTCAGATTTTTGAAAAAGTTCATGGCTTACTATACTAGATATTTCGAAAAAAAACAAATTTTGGCATTTTAAAATTATCCCTAATTCCATTATAATCTATTTTAGACAAAAAGTTTTCAGATAAAAGTTGTAGATAATCACATGCCTAATGAGTTTGTGTTCTCCGATTTTTTCTAAAGCCTGTTATTTTGGAGATATGACACAAACATAGTTTTTTTTAAATGGAAACCATAGTTGGCCATGACTTCCTAAAAGCGCCATTTTTTAAGCTTTTCAGCGATATAAGATAATATGTTTTTTTCGAAAAATTACTGAGTTATAATAAATTAAACTATATTATTATATTTAACTAATTTTTAAACAATTTTACTTAGAAAGAAAACAAGTTCAATCATTTAGAAATGTGAAAATGTCACATCCAAACTTTGTAAATTAAAATAAATAAATAACAAATGTATTTTAGATATTTATTTTTTAACAGTAGCAAGTAACACATACACAATTCAGTTTTTTTAGAATTTGGAGGAATTATTAATCAACGAGAACAGTCAAATAATGTTGTTCGGATACTGGGATCATATTAATTGGTTCTCTTTTACAAATAATATTTAAACAGTTTTTTTTTTATTTTTTAATGAAATAAACGAACTATATCAACAATATTAATATCTGTACTCTTTGAAAATTTGTTACATCTTAAAAAATAATCGAAAATGTCAATATTCCATGGGTATATTGCAGTGGCGTAGCAACCGCTGTATCAGCTGAATCAATGATACAGGGCCCAGTAACCTGAGGGGCCCACCGAGCAGTAATGAAAATATATACCTAATAATTTTATTGTTACCCTCCTTGATTTTAGTTTCAAAATATTTTCTTGTTTTTATTTTTATGTTTGTTTGTTTGTTTGTTGTTGGTTTTTGGAACGAAAATTTATTTTATTTCTGTAGGTATAATTTTACCAAAGACCATACGTTCCTTGTTTTGATATTCATGTTTATTGTTGGAAAGAATGTTTATTTTATTCCTGTAAGTAAAAGTTATTAATAAATAATAAGCTATTCTGATCAGACGGTAAGTTTTTTTATTTTATTTAACCCCCCTTCCCCATGGTCCTGTCTCAGGGGCCCCCTGCAAAATTCGTGATACAGGGCCTTTTCAATGCTAGCTACGCCACTGGTATATTGATAAATTAGGTCTAATTTATAAGAAAATGTGGCATAACACAATTTGATAGGCAATTAAATTGACAGTCTAATTTACGTAAAATATACTGAGTGTGTTTCGAAAGTGGCTCACCTCTATAACATTTTTATTTTTCAGATAAAAAAAACGAGATTTGATTTTTTTGATTTTTTTACTAACATACCAAGTCTCGTTTTTTCATCTAAAAAATAAAAAAATTATAGGGGTGAGCCACTTTTGAAACGCATCCGGTAGAGGGCCATTCTATTTAAATTAAACAAGTTATTGTCGTTATATAGGGTACTATTATTTTTATTATTGCAACACAAAATTTAGTAGATAGGAAAAAATTCAGTACAATATTTGGTTTTAAAAACTTAAATAGGCCTAGAGAAATGAAGCATTAAAATTTGTTACTGTATTTTCACAAAATCGTAAATATTTCCAAAACGGCAAGATCAAAGTGTAAAGTAAACCTTAATTACATTTACCTTTATTTTAATCTTAGAAACTAAAAATGTAATAATATACAGGGTGTTCCATTAAAAAAAAACAACCTTGATATTTTTTATTTTCTGTACTTTTTTTTTTTTAATATTTCCTTCAATGATCCCATCACTCACTATTTCTAAAATCTAATCAGTAATCCATGAAAATTCGTTGTAAAGAGGAATAACCCCATATTATAATTGATTTTTCATACTGTATCAAGCCAGCACTTTACAGCTTATCTAGGTTTTCATACTCATGGATGGGGCAAGTAAGATTTACAGAAAGCCGTGCACCAAAATCCGTCTTAATTTGCACTATATAATTAACAAAACAAATTTCATTTAAAAAATTTACCCATGTGTCATCTTTACATCAATCTCCTGCTATTTCATAAAGACTTTGGCTCTGATTATTGTGTGACTGAATTGAATATTCTGTGATTTCCAGGAAAAATGAAGCGATCCGGCAACGTCGCGGCTGTATCAGCGCGCACCTACTCGCCGCACAACGTGCTTAACCATAGGATTCCTGTAATCCCGGCTGTTGGTCCGGAATTCTTAACCAATTCGCAAACAGCCAACTGTGTCAAAATCAATTCGTTCCTCAGAATGTCAAGACTAGAGGAACGTCTAGTACTATCACCCGCTCGAGTACTGGAAGATGTAGCGTGTCCAAGTGCGGAAAATAGCAAAAGAAAAGCGGAAGAAAGCAACCATACGTCACATGAAAATTTAGAGGATTCTTGTGGAAAATCTGAAGACTTTGTTAAGGAAGAAGAAGAAGAAAACTTTGGAGGAAGTGACGTAAAAGAAATTCGTGAATTTCTACAGGATATTAACGCTTCTTGTGATCTCTGCTGTAACAAAGTGGGAGAAGTGATCAGTCTCAACAAATACGAAAAAATTTTGGGATTCCTTTTGGTGAAGAAGTTCGGTACCGCTTTGATTGGCAAAGTATCGGTGAGTACTGCACGCATTTTACTGTATTTTTTTCATAAAAATTATATAAGTGCAACAGTGCGTCCGGGATCTGCAACCTCTATAACTAAATAAGATTTGGTATCTTAGTATATGACATAAATTAGGATTGATTGACGTATTCAATTGTTTTTTGTCACTTCCTGTTTCACCGGAAATTACTACGACTTTTAATTTTTAAATGGCACCCTCAGTATATTTCTACTTTATTCGATAGACTCTGGATAGAATGACATGTCATATGTCAACTTTTGACATTTTTGTTATAAAAGTTTCGTTAAAAACACTAATTTTTAATCAAGGAGCCTTGGAAAAATAGATTTGATGGTCTAATGTATTTCGTGTCTTATCCTGGCCGGTTAAAAGATGCCCAAATCGTACCTTTAATAATATCTCATTTTTTTCAAATGAAACAAGGGTGGCTCATTAGCATATTTGGAAAAAACATTTTTTTACGAATAATTTGGTACCACACACTTGGTATTTCGAGTCAAATTATCGTTATGAACCGCATGTTACAATTTCAAATAAACCATATGCGAATATGTCATTCTATTCAGAGTGTCATTTCCTATCAAATAAAATTAAAAATGTCTACCAAAGGTGTCATTTAAAAATCAAAAGTTATCGCTATTTCCGGTGAAACAGGAAGTGACCGAAAACAATTGAATACGTCAATCAATTCTAATTTATGTCATATACTAACATACCAAATCTCGTTTTTTTTCTGAAAAAAAAGTTATAGGGGTGAGCAACTTTTGAGACGCACCCAGTATAGCTCCGATAATAAAAAAGTTCGGAATTTTGTTTAAGTACAAACATAAAATATGTACTTTTAGGAAAATATTTTAACTTCTACAGGGTGTCCCAAAAAAGTGCTAGTAGACCGAGATTATTTTTCTTTAAATGGAAAACCCCCTGTGTATTATTAATTAATTATTACTTCCTCTCTGATCACTTTACATAATCCCAGGATATTGTTGTATCCGTTTTGATAGTTTCTAGTTTAGTAAATTTTTTTTAGTGTTTTTCAAAACAAAAAAATTAAAAATACAAGAAATGTCCTGAAATCAAATCTATACTAGGTATTTAGACTAGTTCGCCTATACTTCCTTTGCTACAAATCTCGTAATCTTAATTCATACAAGGTGTTCAAAAAACTACGCTATACGTTTGCGTTGAATTTACAATAAAACCAACTTATAAAGAAATAAAAATGACAATAATGAAATCAGGAAAAATAAAGATTTTTTTAAATATTTTTTCTTATAATATGTTTTCTTCAAATCTTCATTTTATTCTACATAAAATGCCCGTTTTTTATCTCATAGTTTCCTAGATTTCAATATACACTGTCAAATTTGAAACACCCTATACATTCAGGGTGACCTAGCTTTCCGAAAGCTCTCTATTTCAGGTTTCTGGTTTATGATTTTTAATACAATTTTATTATTATTACTTATTGTTATATTTCATTACTCTTCAAAACATTTCAAAACATGTAAGTGGCGCCCCCTACAAGTAGGAGTCATACTAACACCGAAATCAGATTTTTCATGCCAAGAAATACCCATCAATCTGACACTGACATCAATTTTGATGCTTCTACGCCCTGTATCTCCGAAACTGTTTATATGAACTTTTTTTACTTATTTTTATGTGCGGAATATGTTGCCGAGGTTTCCCGATTACAAATCGAACCACCCTGTATATTAAAAGTAAACATTTTCATCAGACAAATATTGTTTCTTTCTTCAAATAGTTTCAATTGCATTAAATTACTTAAAATAATATTTATTTAAATATTTTCTATATAGAATGTGCCATTAGTAAAATCCACTAAAAAAATGCAAGACGCCCAGAGCCTTGCAGCTCTTCAAAACAAAAAAAAATATGAAAATTAAGTAAAATAATGTAACAGGCAAAAATCGTTTTTACTAAAATTGCACACACAACGTTAATAATTCTGTTAATTCTAAAAATTGATAACAGAATGTTATAAAAAAGTTAAAATATTCTATAATAGCTATTAAACATTAAATGGCTACAAGAAAAGAAGCTAGAAAATACAGTTAAAAATACATTTTGAAAACTCAAAGACCTAGAATGTAAATTTTACCTCGTTCTCATTAAAAACTATAAAGTTTATTAATTTATTAGGAAACTTTTTAGATTTTCTATTAAAAAATTACTTAGGTAAAAGCGAAAAATTAAAAGCTAAAACAATTGTTAATTTGTTGGACTAAAAATATTACCATCATTAAAATTTTTAAAAAATTTGCCAACAATAAAATTGTTCTTATATATTCGTAGAAGGTGTAGGTACTTATAGTTACTACGAAAATCTCTTTTTTTATTCAAATAAATTTATTATTTAGTAATAAACTTTCAATTTAATGAAATAATAATTAAATTGGACAATTTAAATAGTCATCTATTCTTAGAAAATGGTGAAAATATGGAAAATCGACATGATTATGAACATCATGGGTGACGTATTTGATATGGAAATTTTTTACCAATAAGGTATTTTATATGATGAAAAATCAAAAAAAATATAGTTAATAATATTTTATTAATTTGCTTTTCAAAATCAAAAAACAAAGTATCTCATTTCTTCTACTTCATTGACATTCTGAAAAGCTAGTGATAGTACATCGTATTTTTAATCAAAACCTATTTTTTACGAATATTTATGAATAGGAGAATACACTTTTAACAGGGTTCCTAAACTATGTTTAATTAATAATAATAATAACTGATTTTTTTGGGGACGACATTACGTTCATAAAATTTCTTGATCATTAATAGTCAAATTAAAGCTATTTTTAATTTGTGCATAATGTTATAATCCTACAGTTCATACCAAATAAACGTTTAATCACGTGATTAAGCATGACTGGCACAGCGTTGCCCACTTTTGTATATTTTCTTTTAATCAAAATATTTTGGCAAAGAAAAATGAATTAATTATAAATATATAAACAGTTATTATTTACATCAACAAAATTCACCTTCTTAACAACTTCTTCTTCTTACGACGCCGTCTCCTTTCGAAGGTTGGCGATCCAAATAGCTAACGTCATTCTAGATACAGCCATACGAAATATGTCGATTGATGAGCAACCAAACCATCTACGAATGTCCTTTAGCCAGGAATTCTGGCGTCTGCCGATAGATCTTTTGCCCTGGACTTTGCCTTCAATTATTAATCTGAGAAGTTCATACTTTTTACCCCTCATTATGTGGCCTATGTAGCGTGTTTTTCTTTCTTTGATGGTAAGCATGAGTTCTTTCTGTTTTCTCATTCGATTAAGAACCTCCACATTTGAAACTCTTTGGACCCATGATATTCTTAATATACGGCGGTAAATATACATTTCGAAGGCATCTAGTTTTTTTTCTAACGATATGTCAAGAGTCCAACTCTCACACCCGTACAGGAGAACTGAAAAAATGTAGCATCTGACCATGCGTACCCGTAGCTCCAAACTCAAATCTGACCTTGTGAAAAATTGTCTCATATTTATAAATGTTTTTCTAGCCTGTTCTATGCGGCTTCTAATTTCTTTCTTCGGGTCGCATTGATCATTTACAATACACCCCAAATACTTGTATGAAGACACTTGCTCTACTGGGTCACCGTTGATATCCAGGTGAATCTGCACAGGTGTTTTGGTGAATGCAAGAACCTTCGTTTTTGTGGTATTTATGAGGAGACCGCAGTTTTCACTATGCCGAACTAATTCATTCATTAGCCTCTGCAAATCTTGTTCATTCTCGGCCAGCACAACTGTATCGTCGGCATACCTGATATTATTGATCACTTTCCCGTTAATCTTAATTCCACATTCGATTCCTTCTAGAGCTTCTTTGAAGATAGCCTCTGAATATATATTAAATAAGAGCGGTGACAGCACACAGCCCTGTCTTACACCTCGTTTAATCGTGATTTCTTCTGACGATGTTCCTTCAATTTTAACCACTGCGTTTTGCTGCCAGTAGAGATTTGTAATCAATCGAATTTCTTCTCTATCTATTCCGGTTGTTTTGAGGACTTCTATAAGTTTTTGATGGTTAACGCAGTCAAAGGCTTTTCTATAATCTATAAAACAAGCGATTACATTGACATTCATGTCTCTGCAACGCTGAGTGATAACGTTTAATCCGAATAACGCCTCACGAGTACCTAGGCCACTGCGAAATCCAAATTGAGTTTCGCTAGTTGGTATTCGCATCTTTTATAAATTCTGGTGTGAATTATTCTGAGAAATATTTTGAGGACATGGGACATCAGACTTATCATGCGGTATTCATCGCAGTTCGAAGCGTGGGTTTTCTTTGGAAGGGTAATAAATGTCGAGCGTAGCCAATCCGTTGGGATAGTCCCTGTACGGTAGATTGTATTCTTAACAACACTTATTACAATACAGTTGTTAAGAATACAACACATTGTATTCTTAACAACACTTAAGGGATATAAAGGGCCATTACTACCGCTTTCTCTTTCAAAATATTCTAATAAAGTTGCGTTGAGTTTTTTACGGCTATTAAGCTATCTTATACCACTTCGCACTAAAACAGGTTCTAAAAAGAACAATGTTCGACTGCAAGGTCTGCTAGTAAAAATTTTCAAGCTAAAAGTATAGCAACACTATTTATTTAAACCAAAAACTCGCAATACAAAACTAAAGTGTCAAAACGAATGACAATGTCGGGAAATAAATAAATAAATGCGGCAACTTGCCATTTTTTACAGCAGAGCTACCCCCTGTATCCCCCGCGCAAAATTTAAATTCCAGTTTGTCAGCACGGCCGCGGCGCGGCGCGGCGCTGAATATATCCATGGTTGGCAACAATGAATTTAAAAGTCGCGCCCTCGATTACGTAAGTAGATGCCTATCCAAAAATTTCCGTAAATAGGGGTTGCCACGGTACCAAGTTTTTCTTACAGGCCCGGCAACAGTGCGTCGGGCATCTGT